TCTGGCAGTTGAGGAGACTGGGCCTCAATAGATGGGGAACCAGCATAGGACAAAGGGAAATATCTCTAGAGTCGTGTTTGTTTAGCATTAAAATTCTGAAAACTTTGCCTCTGATCCTATAATAATATAAGGTTCAGGTTAATATCAATTTAATTCTTCTTCAAATTGTTATTGTTAGTTTCTACTTGAGCTGGTTCACCACAGACCCATGTACAACCCAGGACCATCTTTATGATGGTTGTACGTTTCAGTCCATTGCTGTGCTATTGTGTTAGTGCATCTTACTGAGGACTTGTCTTGTTTTTTGCAGATCTTCTCCTCTTCCAATTTGTTGATAGAGTACATCAAGTTGGAACTGACTCATGACTGATCCTCCAGTGGGTTTTCAGAGGCTGTCATTAGTCAATTCAACAGCACTTAACAATAACTCTTCCAACCACGATGTCCATCTCTAGCAATTGGTCTTACCTAATGACTTGTCCAAATTAAGTAAGCCAAAGTCTCACCATCCTGGCCTTAAGGAGCATTCTGGTTATGTATTATGGTTAATTAAAAACCATGCTGCCACCACCAACCCCCACCCCGCAGAATCTCTTTGGAAAACTAACACAACAAAATTGTGTCAACACCATAGTTTCATTGATTTGAACAAATAATAGAGTACCATAGAGACATATCTAGAGAGAACTAGAGGGAAGTATGGTGGCCTAATGATAAGAACCTGAGCTGTCAACCAGAAGGCACGTGGTTCAAATCCACCAGCTGCTCCATGGGAGAAAGATGAGCAATCTCTTCCTGTGCAATTCACTGCCTGTGAAACCATCTAGATGATCAGTTATGGGTTGATTCTAACATGATGGTAACTAACAACAACAACAACAACAGAGATATATCCGCCTTTGTGTGAGAAACTTGGCCTCAAGGATAGGTGAGCTCTGTCCTGGGGAGGGTGAACGTATAACCATGACTGGGAATTTTCCTTCACTGTCCCATGGAGGATTATATCTAAGAGAAAGACAGAAGTGATTTTTACCACTATGGTAATGTCTCTTAATATCCCAAGAACAATCCAAAATAAGACAAGGACTAGTCCGACTTTAGCTTCTTAGGTGACTGCAATGACCTTTTGATGCTCATGATTTTGATGAGAACTGACAAGACAAAATTCCAGCAAGCAGTGAGGGGACTGTGCAGAGAAATGTGCATAACCTAAGCTGATTTCCACAGATCTCCATCAACTAATAATTACCCACATCCTTTAATAAGCAATCTCTCAATCAATTTCTCTCTCTCTCT